TTCTACCGGGGTTTGGGTGAATTTCGCCAACCCTGGATCCTATTCAGTAACACAAATTCTTGCCCTGGTCAGGAACTCAAGTAGTTGAAGAAGGGAGTGATTCCTTGGCTAGGGTCGAGGATACTGAAGCAGGACCTCGGGCAGCGTGGTGGGTTGGGCATCATGAGAGAATATTTTGGGGTCGGCTCGTTCTCTGCAGGGCCAAGCGATCTCACTCTGACAATTGAGCGTGTGGTTTGTTATGAGTCGCGGGTCCCAGTATGGAAATAAATGTAAACCTCTTTTTGTGACAACGCAACCGGCGAAAGTAGACCCCGGGCCCGACTGTACTACATGCAGGGGCAACCCGTCGCTAGCAGGGTATCCACTAGACAGATATACTACATGGACATGGGGGTTTAGGGGATTTATAAACACGAACTGATTGCATCAAACTCTGCCCGAAATCTGCCCGAAATCAACCGAGCTTTTATTGGTTTATTATGCACTTGCGGGGCCTTGCCAAAATTGCGTGGCTACAAAACGGTACAATGCAGCTATTAGGTCACGAAACAGTGTGGTAACGGTGTTGAGCCGGTAACGGATCAGTTAGTAGGCCGGACCGGATCAGAGGTGACCGGTGTTGGCGGTGCAAGATGATACCTACACACTCGTTTATTATGATAAAGTACAATCACAGCACAGCACACTCCAGTATTTAGGGACAATATTTCTGTATTTTAAAATAGAATTACTTTGACCAGATTTATCTTTCTACCTTGCTTAGGTAGTGCTTATCTGACCTCAGGCTGCGTTTCCACAAACGGGAGGATCGTGTGAAAACCCCTCAGGGAAAAGAAAAGAGTTCTAAAGGAAAGGTTAGTGATAAGCGAATGAAAGGGGTATCGTGAGGTTGGGGTTCAATTAAAGGTGTCCCAGCACTTTACTCCCTATTAGGCCTAGTCCGGCTCCCGAGGTCATCTCGTCGAATACGGCTTGAAGGCTGCATGCGACTCCTGGAGGAAGCCTAGTAGGAAGGCTTCGATGTGTTTTTTGGTGTATTAGATCTGCAGCCAGGGTAGGGCAGTTGCAGACCAGGACCAGGGTAGAATGCCCCATGCAATACGCGATATGTACATGGTACAGGGGACAGTAGTAAAGAATCTGAAGAGCAATGGCCCTACTAGTAGAGATGCCATCACAGGCACAGAGTTGGGCAGGGGCAGAGAGGGGTAGGTCTTCCTTCGCGGAAATACGTGGCATCATAGGCGGTGAGTGCATGGCCCCGTTTCAGTAGAATGAAATCGACATTTCAATTATGGAATAGTGTAGAGTAGTCTATAGTGTATTCTAGATAGTGCCAGACCAGCAGAAACAACAATCTCGCATTGGTATAATAAAAGAGTGCACATTGTTGAGACGGGCCGGTAGCGAGCGACGAAGACCGGGCAGCCGGGCTCCCGGGCAGGTGGACTCGATCTTAAGTGCGTCAGTTAACTGATTTAGAGATAATTAATTTTCACATTGCACGCACAACACGTTCCTTCGTATCTTGTCACACATATTTACTTATATGGTTTTCACCCTCTTTTTGCAGTATAAAAAGTCGCTACTTTGTACGTGTTCACTTCAGTTTGAAGTGAGTATTAGTTATCTCATCTTTACCATACTAGCGCTTAGTAATAGCTTATCTTCTACCTAAACCAATTTCTTTACATAATGTGAAGAGCATACCTCAACCAACGCGTCATCACGTGTGCATACAGTCCTGTCTCTGTGGAATGATGGTGCTGTGAAACTCGTACTCGTACTCGTGTGCGCTTGTGGGATGCAGGCCGCGGACTTGAGTCGTCTGCCTCGCGTTCTCAACGTGAAGGAGGGTTGTGGGTGTGCTGCCTTCGAGTCCGAGTCCCCAGCGTGCCACAACCTTCCACCTAATCTCTCACCTCTTATTACAACCTCCATAACCTCCACAACAACAGCAACAACAATCCTTTAATGTCTCAAGCACCCTACCAAACTGTCAATTTCGAAAACTTACCCCAAGAGTGGATGGGCCCAGGCGCAGCAGGTGTGTTTAATTGAACCCCCCACACACTCTCCAAAATTTGAGGTTGGAAAACCCATGTACAGATAACTACCGCTACCCACCCGGGTGGTTTCCGGCCGCACAAGACCAGGCTACAAAGGGGCTGTCTAACTTTGCAGATAGCTCAGGGCCAATATTCGACATGTATCTAAACTTGGCAAAGGAAGAAGACGAGAAGATGGCCGACAGTTGGAAGGCAGATGCAGATGGCATCCTTGTCTTCGTGAGTCTTCACCTTACATTCCGTACAAACCCTTGTACATAATTTTTTCGACATTTTATATAGACTGGTTTGTTTTCCGCAGCCGTTGCTGCATTGGTCGCAGTTTCAATCCAGGACCTCCGACCGAGTTCTCAAGACACCTCCGCATTCTATCTACAGAATATTTACCAGCTCATCGCCAGCGGCAACATATCTCAACTCCCCAATATTCCTTCCTCTCTAGCCATTCCACCCGCCTTCTCTCCACCTAAATACGCTATCTGGGTCAACTCGCTATGGTTCTTGAGCTTGGTCATCAGTATTACCTGCGGTCTTCTCGCCACATTGTTACAACAGTGGGCGCGTCGATATGTCAAGGGAACTCAACCACGTTACAGTCCACACAAACGAGCTCGTATTCGGGCGTTCTTTGCCGAGGGTGTCGACAGCCTGCACCTTCCCTGGGCGGTTGAAGCGTTGCCCACGATGCTACATCTTTCACTGTTCCTCTTCTTCGCAGGCCTTGTCATCTTCTTGTTTAATGTCCACCACACCGTCTTCACTGTTGTGTCTTGCTGGGTTGGGTTTTGCACGGGGGTATATGGATGCATCACGTTGATGCCGCTATTCCGAAACGACAGCCCGTATTATGCACCTCTTTCATCGACTACCTGGTATTTTGTTACCGGCATATCATTTCTACTCTTCCGGATTCTTCCATGGCCCGCTTATTATTGCATGGGTTATGATACTGTGGAGCGGTTTCGAGAGTTGAAGGAACATTATCGCAGATTGTTTTTGAATGGTATGGGAAAGGCAGCTGAGGAGACTGCCTTGAAGCTGGGATCTGAGATCGACGGTCGTGCGTTGATATGGACATTGGATTCTTTGGACGAAGATCGTGAACTGGAACAATTCCTCGCAGGGATACCTGGTTTTTTCCGTTCAACGGTTGTCAAGAAGCCAGAGGACGCTTTTACGACGACAGGGGGCAAGAAGATGTCGGACACACTGTTTGGACTGATGCGACGTACATGGTCATCTAGCCTGATCCACGAGTCCGTCAAGCGACGGCGGATTGTCATTTGCAAGGAGGTGATGGGCGCGGCATACCTCCCTATCAGTTGGGACATCATTAGATTCGCTTTCGAAGGTGAACGACATGGACTTACCCTCTCCGGCTTGGTTGGGTTTGGGTTGTTGCTGAAGAAAACGACTTACGATAACCGAATCATTGCTCATCATTCCAAATGGGTGGTTTCCAAGATTATTGCGGGACCGCAGGAACAAGATGATCGTTGGTTCGAACTCGCCACCGCTCAATTGGGTATCTCGAGATCTACAATCGAGGATTATCTTGCTAATGAAAACAACATGCCTCTTGCCAATTTGGTTCACGTTACACGTGACATGTTTGAATACAGTTGCTCTAACTTTCATTGGCTTCCATCCGAGGCAAGATCCCTTCTTGAATTCATTTCCTCCCAATTCGACATACAAAGTACCCTTCCTGGACTACAACATGACTTTTGTGATCTTTGGAATCAAATCGTTCAAAAAGCGCTACATGCCGAACATCGTCTCATCCAATTAAACCTTATCGAGATCCTCTGTTGTCTTCATCGTCTTTACATCACTTTACACTCAGCCACCGATCATGACCATGCTCCTCCGGCTCCGGAATTCATCCAAGGTGATTACACCGCTCTAAAGGACATATCCTTGTATCCCTTGTGCAAATCCCCACGCCACCACTCCAATTCAACTCACTAAATCTCTCATCATCCACTTCTCGCATCCTTGGATCCTTGATCTGTTATCCTCGTCTCTAATTCATTCACAGTATCGCGATACGTTTTTATCCTGGACCCATATTCCATCACTCATTTACCAACTTCAATCCCCATTCGATGAGCCCGGTCATCGCATTTTCCAGCTTGTTTTTTGAGACTTTGATGAATTTTGGAGATGAACTTTTATTTAAAGTTGTTTAGAGTTTTCAATGCGCTTTATCTTTTGGTCGGGTCATATCGAGCGTACTCACAGCGAGTGTAAATGACGACACCGAACTATGTATTGTAGTCACGATCCAAGTTTTCTTGGTGGTACTTATGAACCAGTGACTCAGATGGGCTACCCCTTTTACTTTTCAGGCCAGCGTGAATTTGATGTTGTGTGACACGACGCGTGCAATGCCTCCGAGCTTCGACCCTGGGTAAAGGTCGGTTGGCGTCGGGCCACATAAGCGTAGTTCAGCACGGAGCTGGAACTGGGGCGGACGCTCTAAAAGTCTTGAACCCTTGTGATTACCCTGGCGTCACTATACTCTAACACCTGTCTTCTTACATAGCTACGTGTTGGGAGCTAAAAAAGCGTAGCTACACAATGAATCAGTAAATAAAAGGATGTAGCTGTAATAACAAGAATACTGATCTCAGTCGTTTGGACAGAAAGGGAGGTTCCTAAGTATGCAACTAAGCGTTGAGCCTCAACACAAAGTGATGAATACATCCTGAAGTGAAACTACCTAGAATGGTGTACGGATCCGATCCGATCCGCGGTGAGTGCGACGAGACAAAGTCCAATATCCTCATCTTTTGCATCTCTTCGGGTGATACCTCTGACAAAAACGCAGCTGTAAAAAGGGTTGAAGCTATCTATTTAGATAGTAGTTCAGTTCAGTTCTTGTGGTCAAAACTGATATATTTATTAGTATTGATCTCAGGCTGTGTACTAGTAGCTCAGTGGTTAGAGCACTGGACCTGGCTTGTCCAGAGGTCTCTGGTTCAATCCCCAATTTGGCCATTTCTTTTCTAGTTTGTGGGTCAGGGTCCTGTGTAAGATCCCTTCCTTGATTGTGGTGTGTGTAAAGCCAACAATGGAGAGCAAGGAACTGATTCAGGTTGACAGACAGACACATTCAAATCTCAGGAAACTTGTTGCTTCCTGTGCCGACCTTTACACCCTTGAATTGCCTAAGTGAATACAATCAACACATATCTGAATTTGCTTCCTGGTGCCTCCTTGTCATCCACTTCAATTCCCAATACTTCAATTTCCGCTGATGGAGTGATACTTCATACTTGCAACTCCAATGCCTATCTGGTGATAGAAGAGGTCAAGAATAAGATCAGCACTAGCAATGCAGATCCCTTATCCCTACACCCAAGCCAGTCTGTCTTATTGTCGCTATTGGGGGGATCCATCTTGTACGTTTAGGAAATGTGTCCATGTGCAATTTATTATCTAATGATGTCTATTAGGGGACATTTTCAGAAGGTGTTCCTATTGCCCAAGCATCATCCTAGTGATTGCTGGCCCATGGATTTGCGTTTCTGGCAGCGTTTACCTCGATAAGGCAATTGTCCAACCTTTGACGGAATACATCTCCTCTCTCAGGGACTACTATGGAAACCTGGATTCCTCCAATGAGATTCCCAGACACTTACACCAAGCCTTTCCATTTGTCACATCTTATTGGTCACAGTCATTCAAGTACCTGGTGCCACTTGTCAACTATCAGCAGGGCAAGCTTGTGTACAAGGCTCAGTCAGCTTCATGAATCTGGTCAGCTCATTATGGTCAAATATACAATGCAAAGGCACATCGACTTTTGGCAAGCAATCAACTCACACTAGCCTTGCACTACGCTGGCACAGAAGACATCGAAGCAACCCAATATGGCAGACAATACATGGTTGTCATGGATTTTGTGGATGGATCTGAGCCAAGGGAGGGCCCACTTTCAACTGAGCAATTTGGACAGGTGGACCAGGCTGTGTGGTTACTCCATCAGCAAAACTTTGTATTTGGAGACCTTTGTGTTGAGACGAGGCAAACCGGGCAGCCGGGCTCCCGGGTGGACTCGATCTAACGATCGTGATAAGATAATCTAAACATCAGGAAAATGACATTTTGCTAGATTGACTAGTGCTAGCCAATCTAGCCAATCTAGCGATCCAGATTCTCCATTAGCTCTTGCAGACTTGCCTTGACACTTAGAGCTACTTTTCAGAAGTAGAGCTACTTCTCTTCCCTTTTTCCAAATCTAGAGCTACTTCTCTTACCTTTTCTGGATTCACTTTTATTTTTTTCTTACTCCGATTTTCACATTAGAAAAACAAATCTATTATAATATTTATACTAATACAAATTAGACTAAAGGGGACATATACAACCGGGGTCCTTGGAGTTGTGGAAACACAGAGTCGTGGAAATGCCAAAGTGAAAAAACAAAACAAAAGATATTAGCTCCCAGCAGATCAGATGAACATAGAAGACTTACCAATGTTGTGTCCATCACAAGTGTTTCACTGAACAGCATTTAAAAGATGACAGCTTCTGGTCTGATATAAGTGACCAAAGTAAAAGGGCCCAGCAACAAGAGGGCACGCACAGAAAGAATGAACAGCACAGCATAGCCCAAAGAGAAAGTCAAGATGGGCTCAAGAACACCATCTTCCTGGGAAAGTGGTAATGAGAGTAAGAGAGCAACTCAAGAATGAAATAGGAAGGGCATACCAAGTGTAACAAGCCAACAACTGCTCGCAGGCAAGAGAACACCAAACACACTGCATACAAGTATGACAATGTTGCTGGAAAGATGTAATAGTAGAGCCTCACCTTTCTTCATGGCACCCACATGGTCAACTGGACTAAGTTCAAAGTTAAAAAGTTGTCAGCAATAGAAGGAAAAAAGAGCTTATATTTACCTTTCTGCATCTAGCCCTCAATAAAGAGAAAAGATCCTGTCATTGAAGGAAGTGACATAGTGAGCATGAGTAATTTGGCCACAAAAGAGAGAGAGGGAGGGAGAGGGAGAGGGAGATTGTGAGAGGGAAAAGGAGAAAGATAAATGTGAAGACGATGCGGGGAAGACAGCTTTTTGATTGGAGTGTGGAGTGAGAATTGTGCGTGCGGCGTGGAAAATGTAGTTCCCACACTCACACTCAATGACAAACCAGACCGGCGCGCGCGCGCGTTGAGTGCAGATAAGGTGAACTATATAATAATAATAATTATTATTATTATCTTTTATTTACGCAGCAGATAAGATAAAGTAATGTCAATGTTGTCAAAACTGAAGTGAACGCTCACAGAAAATAGTCCTTTAAAACTAAAAAAGAGTGTGAAATAAAGAGAGAAAAGATAATACTATTTACTTGTGACAAGATTTGAAGGAACATATTGTGCATGCAGTGTGTAATTGTCTCTGAATTGGTTATCTGACTCACTTTGAATGATCTAATCGAGCCCAGCTGTCCAGTCCCACCAATGCGGTAGCTACTGGCCTGTCTCAATAAATTTGTGGCCATTCAGACTGTTGCGCATCTGGGTGCATTCTTATGAGCAGCACATCTCATGCAAATTTATGGTAGTAATCCATTACCATTAAATTTCACGGACTCATGATCGGTTCTAAACTATGTGGTAGTCTGCTTATTAGAATATGCGTATTGGAAGTATGATAGTTTGTCCGGCCCGGCATCTCCGGTATCGATTCATGCTGCATGCACGCTGCTATTCCCACATATAGTATATACAATCTGGCGCCCTAGCCATTCTAGTCATTCTAGTCATTCTAGTCGTTCTAGCAAATGTCATTTTCCTGATGAAGTGCATCTAGTAACTGATTCACAGACAATTCCACATTGCACGCACAACACACTCCTTCATATCTTGTCACAATTAATTAGTTATGTTTCTTTCTTTATTGTAATGCTCATTTAGTAGTATATAAGGACTTTAGTTTGTACACATTCACTTCAGTTCTGACCACAGGAACTGAAGTGAGTATCACTATATCTTATCTTTACCATAGTAGCTAACGCTTAGTAATAGCTGATCCTCTATCTAAATAGGTGAAGATATTAATTAATATATTAGTTTGATCTGCTATCTAAATAGATAGCTAAACCCTTTTTACAGCTGCGTCTGACACTTTGAACGCTGAACCTTTTGATCAGCGGTGAGAAGGTGATGTTGATTGACTTTGGCTGGTGTGGGACAGCAGATGAGTCAGTGTATCCTTCGACACTGAATAAGGATTTGGGTATTCAGTGGCCTGATGAAGTGTGGCCAGATGAGGTGATGAGAAAGGAACACGATGTGACGATGTTGGAACGACTGCGGCTTGTCACACATGCCGAGGAGGCGGATCCTAGACTGGTGTAATCTAAACTGTATATGTAGATGTAGACTCTTTCTTTTATCACTGTGTTCTTTGCAATCAGCGTGGGAGAAAAGATGTAAAGATGGATGAGAGGATCCATCTTCATCTTGGCATTGGAGGAGACTGAGCTTACTTGCTTGACTTGTTGACGGGGACTGCACGATGAGTTCAAGCGCCGTTGAAGGGAGTGAAGTCATCCTTACCCACGGGTCGTTAATGGTCCCTGTCCCTTGACCATGTACATGCTCATTTGCTATCTCGAGACTCGAGCTCGACCTTGCGCGTGCTCACTTTGGATTTGTCTTTCATTTAGCATGTATTGTTGACTTGACCTTGAAATTAGCAAGGCTTACAACCACCATTTCCATACACCTGGCTCTCTTTCTGCTCTGATACAGGGGCACCCAACGTAGACACGAGTTACAATTAACAATGACTTAGCGGCACTACGCCACGCCACTGCATATATTAAAATTGCAAGCCTTTGCCGAATGTGATCAACCTCGACATGGTCGACACACGTCCAATATGGACCGAATCGACTTACATATGTTATCGCACTCACACAGGGGCAGCGCCTTTCTGGTTCCTTGCTACCTCCTACACTCCTCAGCGAGCCGAGCATCAGCGTTTTTACCCACGTTTTCGTTTTCTGCCTGCACAGAATTGGGTTTCACTTTCCCAGGGGCATATACACTAACAGTATCAATCGTGCACCAGTACCATTCGTGAATTATCTTCTCCGCATGCAAGCTGTGGGCCTTCTAGGCCTTGTTGGCTAGGTTGACATGCAAGAACATGTTGCAGGCCTTTTTTTATTTTATTTTTCGAAATTGATTTCATTCGCGCATTAGGGTTGTGCCCAAATTGCATAGCTACTACAGGGACAAAGTAACTGCTGTTGAAACATGAGGAAGAAGTGTACTATCATTGTAAACTCTTTGGTAGGGGAGAAAAGGAGACTTGGGTGGCAAGGGAGGGAGATGTGCTGTCGCATGGGAGGTGAGCAAAAGAGTGAACTTACCCAAGACACTTGATGTCACCGACTCGGCCTAATCTGGCTCGCAAGGTTGTTCTGAAGAAAACAGCCTAGTGAAGACTCGTGTGTCCTGAATGAAGGTAAGGAAATCCTTGACGAAAGGTTTACGGTTGAAAAGGAGGTGCCACTGGGGAGGGCCCAGTCTGGAAGGAAGCGAAGGCCTTCATGCCTGGCAGCATAGAGGGGGCATTCCAAGAGGACATGCTGGAATATCACCAAGGTGGTGTCATCACAGGTACAGTGGAAAGCAGAGAGGGGTTTAGTGGAGTGGAACCACTCAGTGTATTCAGCAATAAAGCCATGGCCAGTGGCGAGACGCATGGCTGTGGAAGTGGTGAGCTGCCCGAATGGTTTAGGACGGGGTTTAGTTGTGGCAGATCAGAGCGGATGGTTGAACCCCAAAGGGGCAGAGTGGATGGAGAGGGAGTAGGCACGGTTGTCGCGGCGGTCAGGGTGGGTAGTAGTGGGGTAGCAGCCGTACGAGAACATAGCCATTCTTCGTGCCAATTACTGAAGCGCGCATTAAAAACGTGACTTGCGTTAGTAAGCGTCAGGACTTTGATCATGTGCCCACCGACTGGATTGGAGGAATCG